AGGTGCTCCACCAGCTTCTCCAGCGTGCCTGCCTTTACGGTCCGCACCTTGCAGGTCTCATACAGGTTCAGGGCCGCCTCATTTTCACACTGGGGTGGGAAAAGGAGGGACATATGGTCAGGGGCAGCAGGCTGGACCCCCAAAAGGGTGAGGGGCTGGAGCTCAGATGAACTTCCAAGTAAGTGTTCAGTGACTTTTGGCAAGAGATGGGACATGAGTGTCCCCAACAGAAAAGGGTTCTCAGCTTTCAGTGTAGAATTTGAGGTGGGGGATGACGAAAAAATACTAACACCTTCAGGTGGTTTGCTAGCTGAGTAATGACAGCACCTCCCTGTATTAAGAGCATTAGCCCATGAGCCACCTGGTACAGATGAGGAAACACAGGCTTATCTAGGGTGCGAGGGGGCAGTATATTCAGATACACAGGATGTTCGGGGCAGCACGTGGAAATAGCCACAGAAAGAAATCATCTCAAGGTCCCCGGGCAGTGAAGGGCTGAGTCACCGTGGCAACCAGCCTCCCTTCTGGAATGTCCTGCATCCGAATCAGGCCCCAGCGCTGACCTGGAGGGGTCACAGGGCTGTGCTCCGAGAGACAGCAAGTTACACAGAACTATATATAGTAGGCTGAGCCCCCGACCTTTTTGGGGTGAAAACAGCCCTCCCTACTAAGCGTGGTAATGTAAGGCTCAGAGACGGTATGGAAGGACAGTCAGGCTGACAGCTCAAGGGACAGCTGGGGGCAGTAGTTAAAACTGGGGCAAAATGAAAAAATATTCCCGAACTAACATGAAGTGAAAACAGCATAAAAGTGTCCTTTCTAATGGTCACACACACATGTGAACACTGACTCTGCACTTGACCAAGCCCAGGGCTGGACAGTGAAGTCGGGGAGGGCCCCTGATTCCTTTGGGAGCAGGACTGTGGGACACTCAGGCAGGACAGCCCTGGGAGGAAGCCCGGTGGCGTCACCAGGGTGGCATCCGGAACCCAAGGCCTTCTGGAGGCACTCACCCCGAGCCAGCGCTGACCCTTGTTGGTCCCATGGTGCACCTGGACCTTGCGTAGGGAGATGGAGTAGATGACCCCGTTGACCAGCTCCTCGCCAATCTCCTGTGTGGAGCTCTGCAAAGACAGTGCCCGGCCGTCAGGCGGGGATGTCAGGAACCTGCTCGGCCGATGCTGCGGGGGGGTGCCCCGAGACTTCTGTTCCCCAAATGAGACACAGATTGGTGGCCACACAGGACTCCAGTCCAGAATGAAACAGGATGACAGCTTGAGGGCTGGGGACATCAGCGCAGGTGGGTGCTACCCCAGCACCACCCTTCCCACCCTGACAGCCATGAGCTGGGTGTGAACAAGATGAGGCCGCCAGGCTTTCAACCCCCCAACAACCTGCTCCTGCCCAGGGTGTCTCCTCCCAAGATGAGTATTGTTATTTGGTCATCTCACAGATGAGGACATGGAGCTCGAGGGAAAAGCAACCTGTCCAAACCTTACCTGCCACTGCGGGTAAATGGCAGACCTGCGAGTCCACGGCCCTGAAACGGCCAACTGCATCCAGGGGGATTTGGCCCCCCAACAAGTGCCTCCCCTAGGACCTAAGGCCCCCCTCGTCTTCATCCTTCCTCTGCCCAGCGTGCCCCCAACCCCCAAGCTGACCCAGCAGAGGGGGGCAGCTCCTCCCGGCCGAGCCCTGTGCACGGGTCTGGGCAGGTGTGGGGCATCCTCGAAGGCCACATCCGAGGCCACTTCCTTCCTTTTTTGCTCATTCATGGCCTTGTGCCTTCTTGGGAAACAGAGGAGTTCCTGGTCCCATTTGTCATCATGTGCGTAGGGACAGGGTGAAAAAGATGACGTGTGAGCTGACAGCTGGGGTTCTACAGAACCCCAAAGCCATGGGACTTTGGCTGAACCGGAAGAGGGGTCATCTGGCTGCTCCCTGGATGCCAGGTAGAAAGCAAAGGACCTTGTTTCAGGAGGCCTTCCCACTGGGCAGGCTGGCCTGGGGGCTGTGTCATCAAGGCCTGGCCTAGGCCACTTAGTCATGGCCGCCCTGCGTGTCCCAGGCCCCTCTCCCAGCAGGCCCTGTCCAGGGAAGGGTGAGCCTGCAATGGAGAGGGGGGCCTAGGAGTAAAGATGTTGACCTCGGAGTTCAGGGAGGAGCTGGGAGGCGCTAGCTGGCACACAGCCATCAACCGCACGCTCAATGCCAGCAGCTGGGACCACGCATGGGTCACTGCCCCAGCCCAGGGTGGGCGTGGAGCTCAGAGGAGGCCCAGTGAAAACGCTGACTCAGCCTGGGCCCACTGACAGCCCTTCCCTAAAAGTCCTCAGGGCCCCTGGGTAGGAACCAGGTGCCCAGCATTCTGTATTGTACCCTGAGAGGTCAGCACCCTTGGGGTCAGGGACGGGAGGCCCGGGCCTCGCACCTGCTGCCTGCCCTGGAGGGCTCTGGGAGGGTCTGGGAGCCGTCCTCCGGAAGTCTACTTCCTCTGACCCAAGGCCACCCTCCCACTCCGGGCATCGTACCAATGGGAAAGCCACTGCAATCACAGGGGGCTCCGGACCCTTCGCCTTGTCCTCCAGGGAGAGAGCCGGCCGTTTCTTAGAAGTCAGCAGAGAACCCACAGGCAGAGGTAACCCCCAGCAGCACCTCCTACACCCACACACCCCAAAGAGCCCACGCTTGGGGAGGTCCAGCCCTTCCTCCTCCCGAAGCAGAAAAACGGAAACAGATGGCTTCCTTTCCTTCCCGGGCCCCACACATCCCTCCCAGCCCTGGAGAGCCCCTGGGGCAGGCAGGGGTGGGGTGGGGGGTGGGGGGACAGGGAGGGAGAGGAGGAGAACATGGGCTTCAGAAGCTTGCCAGCCTGCTGTTCCCCTCCCTGCAAGGGCCTTGGCCACCCCTGCATCTCCTCAGGGGTCCGACACTGCCTCCTGCAAAGCCAGCCAACAGGAAGGGTCCAAGCTTCCCGGGGGGATTTTAGTCACATCTGGCCCAGCTAGGAGCCAACAGCACCCTGAGCATCCGAGTCGCTGGCAGCAGTTGGGAGGTCCTGTGCAGGACCTGCCTGCCCGAGGGCACTGGACTTGAACCCCTTGGCAGCCCACAGGGCACCTGGCTCTCAGGGGGGCTCCATCCAGGCCTGCTGGACAGAAAGGCTCCCTGGCCAGGCCAACCCATGGCGGGGCCAGGGCCTCAGGTCTAAATAGCGGCTCTGCAGTGAGCCATGGGCCTCGCTGGCAGCTGAGCAGCTGGCTGGGCCTGCCCCGCTGTCATGTGATCCCCGAGCCCTTCCCCCACCCCAGAGGGGCCCCCTCTGCCAGCCGGTTGGGGGGCAGGGCGGGATGCTGAGAGCCACACATTCTGGGCCAGGGGAGTCACTGCCCTGTCACACAGATGGGGCGCTGGCCGGAGCGGAGCTAAGCCTGTCCTCCCTAGTTCCCTCAGGCAGCACAGGAACAAACCCAGGCCTTTAGAGCAGCTCTGAGCGCAGGCACCATTTAAACCATCTAACCAAGAGTCGACAGAGGAGCAGGCTCTAAAGTGAGTTCCCCAGGTCCCGGGCAAAAAGCGGCAGAGTGGGGCATCTGTTCCCTGCTCCCACCCCCTTGCCAGGGACAGAGAAGGAAAGCACCCAGCAGCCCCAGCATCTGCCCCCAGGACCCTCTGAGGCAGGAAGGGCAGGATGCTGGCACCCACAGGTGACCTGGGCCACCCTGTTAGCGGAGCGGACAACACCGGAGCTCAGGAGCAGCGGCCCATGTGGGCAGCACCCGGCCCCCAGAAATGCTCTGGGAGGCTTTGGGGTAGGAGGGGCATGGCCTAGCAAAAAACAGATGTCCTGAGGGCAGGCGACCACAGGGCAAAAGTATGTCACATGGGCAGCTATGTCCTCAGGGGACAGATCCTCCTGTCCCACCCAAAGCAGGCACCCAATGATGTCCCCAGGCCCTGGGACCGAGTCAGCAGTTATGCCTCACATACACTGCCTGGCCTTCCACCACTTGGGTCAAGTGGAGTGAGGGTGGTACCCACAGGCCCCCAGGGTGTCCCAGACCCCGCTGTCACTCATAGGATAGCCTGGAGCCCAGGGGATGAGTTGGAGAGCGGCCTGGATGGCATCTGTTAGTGTGTCACCGGACCAGCCTTCTCAGGGTGGTAGATGGGCCAGCGGGATGCCGTGCCCCCTACTGATTGCAGACCAAGCCCCAATTCCCTCAAGGGAGAATGGAGGGTCACCAGGGACCTGATCCCATGCCTTATTTCGGCACAGACCTGATGGAACCTACTAGGCCTTTCGCCAGCTTTGCCATCTCCCCTAGAAGGCAGCTCGGTATATGGAGGTGGCACCATTTCCCATCCTGGTCACCCCTCTGGCCCCGCTTGGATGTATGTTTCCCACGGAAATTACAACTAGGGGCCACAAGGGGCTTCTAGACCCACAGATGCCACCAGCTGCAGACTGTCTCCTTCTAAGGAGACCTGGTCGAGAGCTGCAGCAGGAGGAGAGGGGCTCCGGCGTGCACGGCGGTTTCCTCCTGTCTCCTCCCCGGCTGCACAGGAGAGACTCGGTCCCACTCAGGCAGGGCACGGGTGGCTCCAATCACAGCACCTCTATGCGCATTAGATCATCCCTCAGGGAACTCACCGCACCTAGAGCTGCTGCCCAGGTCCACTGAGTTACACAGAGGTTACCCCAAGGCCCTCATCTGGCCACTCACCAGCACCCTGCAGCCCTAGGCACATGAGGCCCCCTTCCAGGGCCCACGAGGCCCCAGAGTGCCACCTCTCATGAAGGGCTCTACTGAGCCCCTCAGCCCTCAGCGAGCTCATGTGCGAAATGGGGTGAAGAGCAGGGCGATGGTGGGGTCAAGAGAGGGAACGCACGCAGCCTGGCTTGGCACCTGGTACACGAAAGTGCCCAGAAAATGGGACCTGATGACACTTACTGTTGGGGAACACCTGACAGGCTCCCAGGCGCCTGAGCTGACGATGAACTCGGGGCCGGGCAAAAATCCCCGGGAAACCTGTGGGACACCTGCCAGGGGCTCTGGGAACCTGGAGGAGGGCCACTGTCATCCAGGTTGGGTGGGAGCCAACCTTGCAGCTTTCTGACTTTTTAGCCTTTTGCTCGAATGCAGGAGCCCAAATGTGAGACAGATCAGAGGGCTGCTCAGCCCTCAGGAATCCCAGGGCCCCGGGACAGTCTGACCACAAAGTCATGCACCCATTTTACAGAATGGGAGACCGAGGCCCAAGGGAGATGGTCAAGTAGTGTCCAGACCGAGGCGAGAACTGGGACTTCTCAAGTCCAAGTCCTGGTTCATCTCTTAGCCCGTAAGCCCAACAAGGCAGGGAGAATGAAAATGCCAAACAAGCGTGACCCTCCGGTGTATAGCAGGTGGGTGTCCTATACCTTGAGCCTGAGAACATGAACAGGACCCCGGTGGGGACTTGAGGTCAGCCCTAGAGGTTGGGACACACTCTTGGTCCCCAGACACACCACAGCCCACAGAGGCGGCCTTGATAGGGGACCACACATGGTGTCTGGTTTCCAGGGCAACCAGGAAGCTCAGTGACCCCAGAAACTAGAGTTTGGAAACTGTGCTGAGCCCCCGAAGAGGCTGACCCATCTCCCTGAAAACTCTCTCTGCCAATGTGAGCCCAGCTAGTTAAATGTGCCTCAAGTGGGGAGGCAAGACCGGACCTCGAGGCTGGCCCTGCCCCCCACCCATCCTCCTGTCCATCCAGGACCAGCTTCTGACCACCAGGCCAGCAGGCCACCAAGGGCCAGGCCTGCGAGGGGGTGTGGCTGGTGAGAGCTGAGGAGGAGGATGGCCTGGTCCCTAGTGGGTGAGGGTGGGGCCAGCTGAAGATCCAGCCCTAACAGCAACACCACGGACCACACTGTCTAGCACGAATGGGCACTTCCTGGGTGTCAGGCCCTTCGCACACTCATCGTATTTAATCCTCCCAACACCTCACTTGATGGATGAGGAAAGAGCCGGGTGGGGAACTCGCCCAGGTCAGGAGCCAGGAAGTGGCAGCTGGGGCAGGGACTTGAACCCTGGCCTGTGACTCTCATGTCCTACGGAGACACACCCAGGCCTCGCACCATAGTGCCTGCCATGGTTACAGCCTCAGGGTTGAGTCCAGCCCCTGGTCACACAGATGCAGGAGAGAGACCAGAGATGGGAAGGACTTCCTCAGGTCACACAGCCAGTTGGGGGCATGGCCAGGGCACCCATGGGCCCCGAGATCAGCTACAAGAACCAGACCTGGGAAGCACCATGCTGACTGGCAGCCCAGGGCACAGCACGCCCCCGGCACCGGGTTAGAAAACACAATTATGGCGGCCACCACCTGTCCGGCTCTGACGCTGTGCAAAGCTCTGTGGGGACTGCTCGTCAGGCCGCCTGTGTCGCTCCGTCCTCACCACAATCCTAAGTGGAGGAACTGGCATCAGGTCCATTTTACAGAAGAGAAAACCGAGGCTCAGGAAGCAGGAGCAGGTCTAGACTATAAAGGCCAAGCTGGCAGTCCAGTGCAACGCTCTTCCCCCCAGAGCCCAAGCTCTCACCAGCACACTTGACTCTGCCCCTCGGTTCAAAGGAACATTAGGCCTCTAGACGGGACTGCAGAGCAGGTTGTGTAAGCATCTGACACTTAACCGGGGAGGAGAGAAAAACACCAAAGCAACACCGCACCCAGAGCTCCCCCCAAGCGGAGGCCCTCGTGCTGGGTGCTCTCACCCAGGGAACGACCTTGCAGTTATCTGTCACTCCCCAGCCACGGGCCGGACTCCTGCTCTGGGCTGCAGATGTCAACCCCGGGAGCCTCAGAACGAAATCAGGGAGTCGCTTCACTGGAGCTGTGTGTCCGGGAACATGGTGTTTCCTGGCTGGCAAGGCTGGAGGCCCCAGCCTGGGACAGGGTGGCCACAGCATGGTGCCACAGCATGGGAGCCGTCTGGGCAGCCAGCCAGCCGCCCCTGGAAGCCAGACCTCAACTGCCTGGGCGCAGCCTCCTGAAACCACCCCCAGTGTCTTGCTCAGAGGCTGCCGGCTACAATCCCCTCCCTCACCAGCAATGAAGACAAGGCTTGGAAACACCTGACTTCCAGGTTGAGGATGGGACCCCCATCCTGCCCACAAGCAATCTAGCATCTCCCAGGACTTATCTCCCTGCCACCCACTCCTGCTCCAGGGCCTTCCCTGAGCCCCCAGGGAAACAACCCCGTGTGCTAAAACGTCTCCCACTCAGTACCAGCCAGCTGGGTCCCCACCCCTTCTCCTGGAGCCCCTGAGGAGCAAAGCAGGAGGGGAGCGAGGCCCTGCAGGTGGCAGTCTCCCCCCCTACACACACACACACACGCACACGCACACACACATGCACACACGCACACGCGCACACACACACACATGCACACGCGCGCGCACACACACACTCACGCGCGCGCGCACACACACACTCACACACGCACACACACTCACACACGCGCGCGCACCCTCAGGCCATGCCTCTTGGGCCTCTAGGGTCAAAGGCCCTGGGCGTTAAACTGAAGACCTGCACACAGTAAGACCAAGAGACCAGACATCCCGGAAGGAGGTGGGAGGCTGGAGGGAGACTCCTCTGTGTATCTCCATCCAACGAACAGAGAAGCACTCCTCATTCTGATCCACCGAGGCTACGTTCAGGCCTCGCAGGCACACTGCCTGGGCCAGGATCCCGCCTTTTCCTCTTACCAGCTTAGTGAGGCGATGCAATCTAATTAACCTCTAATGCCTCAGTTGTTTCATCTGTTAAACGGGCTATTGCCCATCCTGACCACAAAAGGACGTAATGCATCCAAATTACTTAGAACAAGGCCTCCCACAAAGTGCTGGCTCATATAAGCTATTATTGTACACTGTTGGGGTCAGCTGTGGGCTTGCTTCTTCCTGGAAGCTCTCCCCAGTGTCCTCGGGCCCAAAGCACTTTGCTTTCCCTCAGGTCTATAAGCATACCAACCATGCACTTGACCAGGGGGCCTCTGGGCTGCCTGGGCCTGGTTCCGTACCCCCCCCCGAGCTCCACCGTCCTCCCACGAACTTAAAATTGCCTCAGTGGTGGTCGTTCTCTGATCCCTGTGGGCTCTTGCACACAGGAGGCGCCCAGCTGAGAACAGAGCCCATGTTCAAGTCCTGGCTGTGTCCTCGGCTGTGCGTACATTTAGATCAGAGACTTCACATCTCGGAGCTCCAGTCTCCTATAAAGTGGAGTTGGCACCTCCTCTGCGGGGTTGGTCAAAGCCAGCTGGGATGAGGTTGTGGTGTCTGCAACCAGTAGGTGCTACAGACTTGACAGCTGCCTGGCCAAAGTGGTGGCCGGCCCAGAGATGGGGGCATGGGCCAGGTGACCTCCAGAAAGCACAGAACTGTACAGGCCAAGCTGGGTTAGTGGTGGCTTGGCTTAGAATCAAGATGACGAGAGCGGATGCCCAGATGTGCGAGGACATCTGGCAGCCCAGAGAGGGAAGACTGGATGGGTGGAGGCTTGGTAGGGAAATGGGGAACAGGAGGGGGGGAGAAGGCAGTAACTGCCTGGTGGTTTCCAGAAAGGACAGGGACCACAAGCAGGGCTGCTTCGGCTCTGGCACGCTACAGCGACCAGGAAATCAGCCCCAGGATGGGGGTGGGAGGGTGTTGGCAGGAGGGACAGGGACTTCCCCGCCCCCTCCCCGAGCCCGTAGTAAATGGTCATTGTGTTTGGTTTCCGGCAGTGGCCATCTCTTCTGCCAGGACCCTGATTTTCCTGCCCCAGCCAGAAGCTTCCCTTTTGATTTCTAAACAGTGGCCGTGGCCTGGATCTAGTGTTGAGGCCGGGTGAGGGGGAGCAGCAGCAGGGGGGGCGGGGGAGGGAAGGGAGAAAGAAGGCGACCCCTGGGCAGGACCTGCGGCTCCCTCAGGTCCTCAGGGATGCAGATGGACAGAGACAGAGAGGGAGGGCGAGAAGCGGGCCAAGTGGCCGCCCCACCCTGGCCAGGAACCTGCCCGGCCCCTGTGAGCGTGTAGGCTGGACCCTCCCAGCACACAAAGCCCGACTGGCTGCCAGACATAATGAAAGTCAGATGAGCACTGGGCTGGTGTCAGGCCTCCCAGGGGTCCTGCTCCAGCTGCCAATGAAAGCCAGAGCAGTGGGTGGATGAAGGTCCGGGAACACGCGGGGCTTGGCTACCCGCCAAGCTCAGGAGAAACGGGTCTCCCAGTCCTGCGGTTCCCTCACCAAGAGCGCCCTCCAACCCTTGCCTCGCCCCCACACTGGGCAGGGAGACACACTTTATCCTTGGGCACATATGCATCCAGGCCCTACCTAGGTACTGGGGACAGGCAAAGGCACAAGACCCAGGCTGCAAATCGCAGGCAAGCACAACACACCAGGGCCTAAAGTCAACGGGTGGGGTGGACACCAAGGGGGCCCTAACCAGCACGGGGGCTCAGGAACTTCACTGTCAAGGCTCTGGCTCGGCCTTGACCTGCTGAGCCCCCAGCCCACGGCTGGCCTGTCCAGGCCCCATGCCCAGGCAGGGCAGGGTGACGGGGTCCATTCTGCCTCTGCCACTTCTGAAGTCAGGTGCACAGTCAGGAAAGAGGAAGGTACCACTCCCCGCTCAACCTGCATGACCCCAAGACCCACTGGGCCTCCCTGCGCAGAGCGCCCTAGAAATAAGAGTCGCGGCCCTCACCGAGTTACCCCCACCTCCATGGGTGACAGACACATCTCCCCTTCTCTGAATCCTCCCAAATCCTTATAAACTCATGGTGTCGGGGCATTTTCTAATCAAGCAGAAATGAGTCACTCACGCCTCTGGACATGAGAGGGCCTTGTCCCAACCTCCCAGCCTGGACAGCTGGCCCCACAGGTTGGAGGCCTGCTCCCCCTCCAGCCACCTCCTCTGAGCAGCCCTGAGCCTCAGATCCACGTCTGACCCCAAGGGGGGCTGTCTGGAAGGCTGCTGTGGTCCCAACGCCTCTGAGGATTCTAGGAGTTTGCCGCCCTACGACTGGTTCGCCACCTGCATTGCGAAGCCTACCTGCCTATGCAGGCTGGGACTGGCAATGGAGATGAGACAAGGCCCAGCCCCTAATGTCGGGAAGTTCACAGACGTAAACACACAGTGACAGCCCGCGGAAATAGGTCTACCTGGGCTGCAGGGGCACGAGGCTGGCACACCTGGGATCGGTGAGGGCAGGCACTGGGGCATGTAACTAGGGGCACGAAGCCCCGGTTCTGGTCCTACACTGCTGGATCCGCTGTCGACGGCCCCCACGCCCACCTGCTGCCTTAAGGTTAAAGGAGGGGGATTTCTGCAGAAGCACGCTCCCCATATATGATCAGGACCCTGGGTCCCCCCCCCACTCTCCCCTTCGCCGAGCCGCGGGGTCAGGCCGACCTGGCTCACTCACCTCCAGACGGGGCAAGTCGGGGTCGAGCTGCGTGAAGCTGTGCAGCACCACCGGGCAGTTGTCGGGGCCGCCCACCTCCAGGCGCACGGCGTCCCACACGCTGCGGCTTCGCCGGGAGCCCGGAAACAGCGGCTCGGCGCCGCCCGCAGGCCAGGCCGCCTCGGCCCACATACGCTGCACCATGGATGGTTCGCAGCGGCGCGGGCGGCCGGCCGGGCCGCGGGACCCGAGGCGGCGCGGGCAGCGGAGGCCCGCGCAGCTCGGCGCTGCCTGCGCTCTGCGCCCGCGGTCCGGCCCCGCTGAGGTCAGGCCGGGGGCGGGGCCAGAGCCTCGGGAGGCGGGGCCAGCGTGGAGGGGTTGGGCCAGCGATGCCGAGGGGCGTGTGTGCATGCGCGCGGGCGCCCGGCGAGCCTGCTGGCTGTGTTTTATTGAGAACACGTGTGTGTCGTGGGGCTGTGGGTACCGCCGTTATGCACGTTGTGTGGGTGCGTGCGCTGGAGCAGCGTATGTGTTGTGTATGTGTGTGACTTGAGTACGTGTGGAGTCAGATCAACCGCCCATGAATTCCAGTTAAGCCCCTTCCTAGCTCTGTGGCCTTGGACAAGTTGCTTAACCTCTCTGAGTCTCAGTTTCTTCATCCGAGAGGGCCACGTTGGATTACTGCCGTGCAGCACTCAGCGAGTGCCTGTACCTTGCTATGTGCTCCTGAGTCCTAGATCAGTGACCTCAGTGCACATGTGCGTTTGGAAGGCCTGAGTGTTGGGGTGTGTGGTGTGGGGACAGGGGCCTTTCTTTGCCTGCACTATCTCCTTTCTGCTTCCAGCCAGGGAGCTGAGGGGAGAACCCAGACCAGGCATACTGGGGTTGGGGCCTACAGACATTCACGAGTAAGGGATCAAGAGGGCAAATGCTAGGGCCACTCGAACGCAATGATGATGCCAACTTGGGCCAGTGAAACAACGTCCTCCACAACTAGACTGAAGAACAAAAGGACAGCAACTTATCTGTTCCCCTTCCCCCAATTCCCCAGCGCTGTTCCCATCCCCCCAATACCCCAATTTAAAAAAAAAATCTTTAAAAAAAAAAAGAGGGCAAATGCTAGCTGGAACACCTGCCACTGTCCTGGTCAGCAGGGACCACTGGCTTGAGCATTCAGTCTCAGGGCACAGGTGAGGGTGCAAGTGAGGCTGCTGAGGGCTGGGGTGGAAGCCCTCACAGAAGCTGGTGATCACTATCAGCGGCCCTATCAATGCTACAAAACTCCCAAGAACTGGTGCCATACCACTGGGCCCGTTTCCCACCTGGACAATGAGAGGGCAGGACCACATGACACATTCCATAAACATATCTTACGGACCCACCAGGTGCCAAACCTCATCTTATCCATGGACATGGAGCCCCAGCAAGCTCCCGCCCACCCCGGCAGCTGGAGCACCAGGGCGGGCGAAGGGGTGGTGGGCCTGAAAACAATTTCTACTGTTTTCTTTCAAGGGCATTAAAAAATGCTTATGCCCTTTAACGTGAGAATGCTACTCTTAGGCACTCACCCTCAGGTGGCAAGTCGAGGTGTGGACATGGATTTCTATATAAGGATGTCTATGGAAACGTCGATCACGACTCTGCCTAACCGAATCCACGCAAATGCCCTGTGCTGACTGACAGGAACCTCGGTGCCACCGCACACCATGGGCGAACTGTGACGCCAGTGCGTCTGCTGTGCCGCGACGTGAGAAACCAGGATGCAGAATACGCTTTCCGAACTAGACAATGCACACGAGCATATGACCGGGACCCGCTCTGCAAAAGGCATCGTGGTTATTTCTGGGCGCTGCCATACATTTTTTTTCACTTCTCTGAATTTTCTATTATTTCTAAAATATTTATAATCACACACATAATAAATGCTGGGGGTGGGGGTTGTTTGCTTTTTTAAAGTAAGATGGGTTTGGGGTACGGATCCCTAGGAGGCGGTTTAAGGACCTTCTGTGTGACCTTCCCCCAGGTGGAGGTGGGTGGGGCACATTTAGGACTCCTCAAAGATCAACAAAGGGGTGACCTGGGCACAGGACACTGCCCTCTGGCTAGAAGCTTCTCCTCCCGCTCCTCCTGCGGCCCAGCTCTCAGAATTTGCCAAGTAAATCCAGTACCTGCGGGTAGCTCGCTTTCTCTCTTTTCTGATTTCTTTATCTCTTTCTCCCAGGGAGGGGCCTGGGGAAGCAAGCTCAGGCCCATTTTACAGCCAAGAAAAGGGCCCCTGGAGGCCAAGGAACTCCGGAGTGCACAGAGGAGCACTCCCAATGGCACCATCTCTCCGGCCTTGAAGGTCCGGGGTGCCAGGGTTGGGGAGCTCAGGTAGACTGGAGAGGTGAGCAGCGGGCAGTTTCATCACCTCACATCCCCCAACATAACCAGCGGGGCTCTACCTGGATGTCACCTGCATGGAGGGGCGTGGTGGTATATCCTTTACTTAATCATTAACCTCAGGTTCATGTTTGTTTTTATAAAATCTCCCTCCCTGCCTTGTTCGCTCTGGCTTTGGGGCTCCCCTCTGGAGTCCTGGTAAGCCTGCTCACTGCTTGGCTGCATGCACACGTGCATACACACACACTCACCATATAGACACACACCCCTAGTTCTCAGGGTGGCAGTGTGGCATAGAGGACAGGTTTAGACATTGAAAGGTCTGGGTTTGAAACCCAGCTCCATCCCTTTCTTATTGGGTGACCCCTATTCCCCCAGCACAGTATGCACATGTGTAAAGGGGGCATAACTACCGAGACGGCACAGGTAAAGCACCTCGCACAGGTGCCCGCTGCCCCCAGGTCAGGCAGGCGGAGACTCTGAGCCTCACTGTTAGTAACAGGGGCTCGATTCACAGGGTGCCTCCTGCATGCAAGGCCCTCTCCTGAGCCCTCACATATCTCTCCTCATCATCCTCACCCCCCAAAGCTGTGGGGTAGATCCCTTACCAAGGGCAGGCAGGGTCAGCTCAAAAGAGAGGGGACCAGGACAGCACGTGCCTGCCACCTGATGGAAGAACACAGAGCCACCCACGAACTGTTCTTGCCCCAAACCAACCGTAAATCCAACCAGACCTCCACATGTAACTACCATTTGGGGGAATTACAAGGAACAGAGGAACACGTTCAATACACCATGAGGACGCAATCCACAAATTCCCGACAGTGAGACTCTCTCCAGGACAAACTGAAGAAACCCAGTGTCTTCAACAAATACATTTCAGGGCAAAAAAATAAAGGGGAAACTATAGATTAAAAGAGCTATCAATCAAATATAACGTGTGGATTTCGTACTGTGATTTGAACAGGGCAAATAGGTTTTTAGAAAAAACCTCAGGGACAATTGGGATTATTTGAACACTACTGGATATTGGATGATATTTGCCATCATTTTTGGGGTGCAATCATGGGACTTAGGTTACTATTAGAGTAACATACTGGAATATTTGTGGATGGGATGATGTGCCTCGGATTTGTGTGAACATTGCCCGCTGAGCAGGAGGGGCAGGACATGGGGCAGTTACAGAAGAAATAAAAGTGGCCCCACAATGTGAACGTCAAGCTGGGGGGGGGCTTTCTGCCATTTTCTCCACTTTTGTGTCTATTTGGAATTTTCCATAATAGAAGTTAAAAAAGAAAAAGGACACAGTTGGAGACTCACCCTCCGAGGCCGCTGAGGCTCCCAGCAGCCAACGAGGTGGGGAGCCCAGGCCATGGCAGTGACACCTGGCCAGCTTCACCATTTCCTATGTTCCCTGCCCCATGCCCAGGGATGCTCATGGCATCCTTACAACCAAAGGGGCGGGGGGCTTCACTGTGGGGGCCGAGGCAGTGGGCAGCTGGGAAACCAAGTAACGCAGCTCAGATGGTGCTGGAGGCAGCCCCAGTGACCTTAGGCGAGTCTGAGCATCAAAGCTGCGATAACGTCTGCCCTTGGAGGGTCTGCTGGGAGGATCAGAGGGCACAGAGCACTGTAGGACACATGGAGTTATTATAAGTTGGTGTCACTCCTTTCCTCCTCATCCTGCTCACAGCTCACCCTGCCCCCAACTGTCCCAGGTTCCCAACCTTTCCCTGTGGCATGCACCTGCCCTTCCTCGGGGGTCACAAGAAGTCCTGAGAACACCACTACGCTGTATAGACCAATCCACAGTTGTGATGCTCCTAACACAGGATGCTTAAAAGACAGGCCGTGAGCTGACAGCCAGGGACGAGACCCGGGCCAAATCCAGCCCACACGTGTTTTGTTTGGCTTGCACAGTGCTTTTCAACTTTTGAGTCAACAGTAAAAGGTCAGGTGATTTCATATAAAATCCACATTTCCGGCTTCTCTCGTAACTTTGGACTACCTGGCCACACCAGGTCTGCATGCCCACACTCAGCAGAAGCCTGGGCAGGAGCTGACTGGCAGCTGTCCCCTCCAGCCAGGGCACGTCTGGGTCAGCTTGCTCAGGCCAAACCTCTGGGGCCCCTTTTCCTTCCCACTTTCATCCCACCAGGGGTCTCCCTGACACAAGTCAGCCAGAGAGGTTTTGACCCTTCAAGCCCCCCCACACCCCCGCACGGTCCTCAGGCAGAAGACCAAATGCTTGGTAAGGGCCTAGCTCACATCTCTGCTCAGCCAGGCTGACACTCAACTGTAGCAGTCCCAGGGCCTCTATCCGCCCCCTCCTCTGCCTGGCCCATGCTTCCCACCTCCCACCGACCCTCGGCCGGGCACCTGACAGAAGTCCCAGGGAATGGGGTTTGGGCCCAGGGTACAGCTCTGGGGAGGTCTACCAGGCACACAAGTGGCTCAGAGCGACAACTGGGCTCAGGGCAAGCACAGGCCTTGGTCATCGCCTCCTCCAACGTGGGGTGGGCCAGAGCCGACGGAGGGAGCTGGTGGCCCAGCAAGGACCAGCAGCCAGGTACCGACTTGGGTCAGGCCTTGGCGGAAAACCTTTCACCTTTTCCTGGGCAGGTGAGGTCACCCCGTCTGTCTGCCTTTTGTGGTCTATATTTAGAAGCCCAGGGAGGACACGGAGAGGGTGTGGCCTGGCCAGGCTCCTGGGTCATTTCCCTACACCAACGTCACCATTCCTGGCCTGCCTGAGTCCTGGGGCAGCCCTCTGTGGGCGGGTGAGCACACACCTTGGCAGGAGGTGACACACCTGGGCCCAGCGTGGGAGCTCCTGGGACAGTGGGTGGGCCTGGCTTAGCCCTACCGCCTCTGCTGCTGGGCTTCTGGG